GCCCGGCGGGCTCCCCTCAGCGCGGCGGGAAGCCGCCGCTGCTCGGGCTGAGGGAGCGGCGAGGCAGAGCCCGGACTTAAAACCCAGACTGAGGGAAGCGCCTCGTCAAGACAGCCTCCGTCCGCGTAAATTAACAAAAAATTAAGTTTAACTAGGTACCTCAAACGACAGCCGTTCCTTCTTGCACTAAAGATTTTTTTAAATGAAAACACACTTGTTCCAAGAAGAGAAGGATGTTCTTTCATTAGTTGCTGCCACGTTATGGCAGCAGTTAGCTGTGGTTTTGATAAATGAAAATGTCCTGGTTTCTGACAAGCAGAAAAAGGTAGTTGTAAAAGACGTGACTCTGTTCCTAAAACAAACTGCTCCCTTAAAACAGTAAGCTTTTTAGCACAGAGAACATGAATAGATTGGATATTGATAGCACCGTCTAGCTTTGTCCTCTTGTCCAGCCATGTCTGGTACCCAAGCTGCCTCATTAAAATGTGTGTATATGGTTACAAGTGGACTAAGCACATGTATCTTCATAGTCTTAAGTACATAAGGATCTGCCACCCAAGGGTTTAAAGCAAACTAATACAGGGGTTGACAGAACTTCTGGTTCCCTTCAAGGTAATAAGTCCCATAGGTGGTGTGGATTTATAGTTATTAACACGTGGATGAGGGCCTTTCACTCAACAGTGACATCTCTGTCACGGATTCCCCAGATGATTAGATTTAGAGGAGCTTATCTAAGCATAACATGCACCAGTTAGGTCAAACAGTAAGCTGCTACTTTCGTGTTTACCTGAGCATTCCATGTACTCAGCTTGGTGCGAGAAAAGGAATTTGTTAGATACGGTACATACTCTGAAAACTGAATGATTACACAAGGATTGCTGCGGACTTGGAGGCAAACTTCTGCTTTGAGGTGCTCTAGAGTAAGCATGAATAATCATTTAACATCTGGAAAATATACGTAGAGATATTCTTCTGGCTCTGAGTCATTGTATATAACTCTGCAGGCACAATCTGAATTCAGACGCATTAAAAAAAAAAAAAAAATCCAGCTCTTCCTGTTGTTACACCTTCCAGCCTAAAGCTTCTGCAGATCACCGAGCCCAGTTGTTACTGCATTCAACCACGTCACGCAATCCTGCACATAAACACATTGCGCTGTTTCTAGAACGAAATAGGTCGTTGCCCATCCCGTCCCAGTGGAAGGACAGTCCAAAACCTTGCAGGTCTGAGAAACAATAACTTAAATTTGGGTTTTAGACTACATTTATTAACACTGATTTTTTTCTTATGTCAGTCTTGGTTTTTTTCCCCAAGTAGCGCCTCTTCCACTCTGGGTTTTACTTCCCTGCTCCTTCGCTAAAGAGCAGTAGTATTAACCCAAACATTCATATTTTAAAGTATTTAATGCCATACAGGGCCTTCATCTTAGTATTTTATACTCAGCCAGTGTTCAGACTGCATGGAAAATTTTAGTTATCCACTCCAGACCTAATTTATTGAAAAAACACCAAACCCCCAAACCCTTACAAATAATGAGTCATTTTAACTACGCAAGATGGCACAGCCAATACATTTAGGACTGAGAATGTACCCCGTTAGCTTAGGTGACAAACTCAGAGACGAAAGGAGCACATCTGTGGGAAGGTTTTGCCCCCCTGAACATGTAACACCTCACAGTTCCAGAGTTATGATAAAGCTGCCAAACGTTTTATATCATAGCTTTTGTTTATCTTCCCCAAATGCCCAGAAGGCATGCTCAGAGCAAAGCAGCCCCACCAGCTCCTATGGCTGAACAGGCTGCAGCACTGGAGACACCCGCCCCTGCCCAACAGAGCTCCACTTTTGCTTCACAATAAACTCTACCTGCTGAGCTCCGGAGCAGCCTCAGTACCTCCATACAGCAGATGCTGATGGCAAAAAGTGATGGCTTACACAGAAAGTGAGGATAACAAACTGCATACCAGCTTTCAACTGACAACCAAAAGACCAAACTAATGAAAAAGATTTTCATGCTGTCATAAATAAGGTGATTTATGCAATTTCTGGCTGAACAGTTTTATTCTCACTCTGTTCTTTACAGTATTCATATTCAGGGTAGCTGTCCTCTGGGATAGCTGATGTTGACAGATAAATTACCTTGAACAGTCAGCTGAACTAAATGCAAAATGGTAATTTTTCTTTTTTGTGTCTCATGAGTGAATTGTAGTTACAGAATAGTTTCTTTTTTTGGCTAATTAATAACAGATAACAGATGATAACCGATGTGTCAAAGGCCTGTTACAACAATTCCTGGTTTAAGAGCAACACAGAGACAAGAGA